AGAACATCTTTCTCCTAAAATCTCATGGGTGGCTACTAAGTCTGCAAAAAAAAAAAATCTTTCTTTGTCTTCTTCATATTATTATTATTATTATTATTATTATTATTATCATTATTACATGTGGCACATCACCACATCTTTTCAAGCTCCTACATGGTAGAGATCACTAGCTGCTAAACTGTTTAGCAAGCACTGATTTGTATTAAGACAGACAAGGGAATTAAGCCACCCAACACATCTAATGAAGCATGTAGCAGCAGGAGTGTCAGATTCCTGCCTTAGAGAGCCACAGTACTGCAATATTTAGCATTCTATCTCACAAAATATGCCTAATTTAACTCATTGGCTCATTACCAAGGGCTGAATTTTACGTGTTTGAAGAGGGCATCCTGTTAGGGCTGCAGTCTGAGAACCACGATGTAGAGGATCATACATATCATATGATTCACATGAGATTAGTAGCAGTCAGAGCTATGTCTAGCTGTTAGCAGGCAATATTCAGGCAATGGTCAAAAAATCAGGAATATAAAAAGCTAATAAAGAGAAGATGCCAGGCATGTGGCCTAGACACACTGACACAGACAGAGTGGCCCTGAAAATCCTCATTAAATCACTCAAGAAGTCAGTGTCATGGACACTGAAGCAGGCTATCATGGACACAGTGATATTGAAACAGAAGAGAAAGTCAGAACATGTTGTCTTGGACATAAATAATTATACACAGATGACTAACTCAAATTCAAATTTACTTTGAATAAGCAGTGTACAAATCTTCTTACTGATAGTATATAAATTATTATCATTTGTATGTATTACTCAACACTTGTGTAAATTAAAAGCATAACAACTGGAAGAATGCAATCATGTAAAATCTTACAGAATCTGTGATTTAATTTTATTTTCAGACTCCTGTGAAATATAAAACATCTCTTAACAATGCTAGCCATCCTGGCAAAAGTTTGGGTGGGAATCCTCCATGTGTAGCTTTTCTAATGCAGTCTTAAAATATAGCAAAGCTTAACCATTAGCTATTACTAAACATTATATGGCTGGCTGAGCAATCCTAGGCAGATATTTATACAGATGTTTGTGTGCTCAGACCACTTTATACCCAATCAGCTCTTTCTCTCTGTCTCTCTCAATATATATATATATATATATATATATATATATATATAAATTGAGCGAGAGAGAGAGAGAGATAGATAGATAGATCTAAATTTGTGTGAAAGAAAAATCATCTAACATTTAATGGATACTAAAGTAAAAGAAGGAGAAGTGTTCTGATCACATGGCATTGTGCCTAATACGCTGACTACAGCGCTTGAATGCATGAGACGGCACAGGACTTCCTAAAGACAACATTAAAAATGGGTTTCCCTCATTCCTTTTTTCAATCAAAGAACACAAAAAAACCTTAAGACCCACTTCCTTCACTTTCCTACAGCATAGTTTGGTCTTAAATACTTAGGCTGCGCATCTGGCAAATCCATTATAAGTGTCCACTTAATGGTTCAGGTTGAAAATAGCGGCTGAACTTCAATCCTCACCTTTTTTTTCAGCTCAGTGTATAACTAGATTACTTGTAGTGGTCCACTGATAGTACTGCATGCTGGCAGCAGTCATGTTAGTTTTGTTTTTGCACTTAAGATGAATAATACATGTTCATTCCTATATGCTTGACAGATCCAGCCCATTCTCTCACATCTGCAGTTACGCTCTGTTCCTAGTTTTACTCTATCCAGCTATATATGGGACCAAGTACACACCCAACCCACCCACACATGTACACATAATATACACACACTCATAATACACAGAGGACTCCCAAAGCTTTCAGTGGAATAGCAAGTGGCCAGAGGATGTGAATTTTCCCTCCTGACTCCACAAGCTTTCCATTTCTCTTCTATTCACCATTCTTCTCTCTTTCTCGTTCCCCATTTGTTCTTAGCCTGCGGACATTTCAGCTGAGAATCACACATTTTCTTTTGTATCCGTTTTGCCAACATCAGCAAAGACCAGTTAAATGCAACTGGCCACTTTTTAGGGCAGCAAGAGAACAAGCAACACGTGCAATGCGAGGAAGTGTTCCCAGACAGAGACGAGAAGCAAAAACTCTGCACTTGTTACCCATATACAGCAGGAATCAGCACTTTTTTATCACCACTTCTCTTGTATATGCATCCACTAGGCTAATGTGAAGTATGGTGGTGGTGCTGGTGGTGGTTGAGGAGTAGGGAGTTGTGGGGGATTTCAGGATCAGCCTTCACACATTGTGGCATCATGTCTGTCTAGGACAAGGTTTCATTTACAGAATATCTTGTTTGTTTGCTACATAATGGCAACACTGCATTGACTTCATTACTCTATAGAAGGCATTCTCAAAATTTCACAGCCAGGAATCCCTTTAACTGTAAAATAAATATTCACAGACCCCTGAGCACAGATTTATTTTATTTTAAAATAATCAAATACTAGACTAATTATTTAAATATGTACAATAATGTACAACAATAATATTCTGGGTGTTTATTAGAGCCAAAGGGGTTTTAGTCCTCAACTTTCCACTGACAAAACACAGGTCCAAGTTGACATTATTAATAGACTGACTTGTGACAATGTTTATCAAAAAAAAAAAAAAAAAAAAAAAAAAAAAAAAAAA